TTCCTTCCTTCCTTCCTTCCTTCCTTCCTTCCTTCCTTCCTTCCTTCCTTCCTTCCTTCCTTTCTTTCTTTCTTTTTCTTCTTTTTAAAGTGCTGGATTGATTGGTTGATTGATTCTGTGTGTCATGAATGTTATAGCAGGCCCATGGACATCAGAGGACAACTTGTGGGAATTGGTCCTCTCCTTCCATCATGTAGATCTTAGGAATTAAACTCTGATCATCAGACTTGGCAGCAAGTACCTTACATGAGCCATTTTATTGTCTCTGTTTATTTTGACTGCATTCTGTTGAATTTAACTTTGATTGTGTGTTTTACTGCTCGGATTTCTTTGACACCAATCCTTTTGTTCTTGGATCTCTTATACAGAGATATTGGTTGAAATATTAAGGCCACTGCACGTAGTTAAAAGGGAGGTTTATTTTGTGGGATAACTTACAAGTGAAGGGGGATAGGTTACAGGGTCCAGGAAAGGTGAAGTGCAGTCCAGCGGTGTTCTCTGGAGAACTCTGCTTAGTCTACCTCAAGCATCCAGGATCCAGGAACCAAGAGAGCCAGCTCATCCCGATCTCGGGTCTTCAGGGGTCGTCTCCCAGCCCCGCCTTGTAGGCGTGACAGTTACTGAAGCCTTAATGGAGGTAGTACTTCCAGGTCATAACTGGAACAGCTACCCACTACACAGACTGACTTTGCTTTAGCTCTTCTATGCAAAAACGAATTTTTCTAAATGAGGCAAGGTTGAAAACAGTTCTGTGTAAGCAGATATAATCATCTACTTACACTTCATTTTAGGGTGCTACCTTTGATGAATCTGAGAGCAGACTTCCTCTTTCATAGTTGTAAGTGACAGCACAGGGAAACCATTGAACTATAGCACTCCATGATTGGAAGGAAGGTTGACTTGGAATTATGTAGCTACCATGTGGCTATCTTTCCAGTGATAGATTGAGAATAGCCAAAGGCATTCTGGGGGAGTCCAACGCTGCAATGGCTACCTATCAGGAGGCAGAGAGGATAGCAAAAGACTGGATAACTACAGGGTCTGGAGACATGCCATCCAGAACAGCCTGGAAGAAAGTGTGGGGGCTTGGATTTTTGTTTTGGTATGAGCTAAGAGGGAAGTAGACATCTGCCTCATTTGCTGGAAGTGGGGAGATAACGGAAGTGGCTCTTCCTCAGACAACTTAATTCAGCCCGTTTGACAGGTTCCTGAGGAATGCTGAGTGTTAGTTTTTGTCTGTCCTCCATCAGTCCTTCTGTTTAACCATCAGAGCTGAGCCCAGACTGTCATTTAGGACATTGTCAGTGACACTGTCATTTTGGGGGTTTGGAGTTTGAGGGGATTGGGACCAATAGTGACATGTATGGCCCACAGAAGCTGAAATACTTACTCCCAGGTATTTTATAGAAAAGTTTGTCTGCTTTTCATAAAAATGGTGATTTTTGAGAGGAGAGGTATGCATAATAAATATATAGGCCATACTTTATTTCTCCATACCTTGTAGATAATTACTTATGTAATTAATCCGGCTATTGAGTATTAACTTTCATCACATATGTCATTGACTCTTCTAATTATGATGTAGCAGCTGTTTTTGGAAAGCATTCTACTTGATAATTGCCTTTTTATTTCTTTGGTATTTTAGCTATCTGTAACTGATTTTCAACAAACTGGATTTAGAAGCATAAAAGAAATTCTCTTCTCACAAGCACTGTGCCTTTCAGCCTATTTTAATTGTGATCATTTCTTCTTGCTCCTAGATGAAGTGTTAGGCAGATCCGACAGCTTTTCTTGTCGGCTAGTAAACAGTTTATCTGTTTTTAAGGTTATACAGTATCTAAGTTAGTATACTATTGAAATTCTCCTCATGCAATTTTACCATTCTCACCCAGCTTAGGCCTGCTGTTGGCTTATATCAGTGGAGAAAGGACAGGGTTCATTCTTTATCCCCACCCTCATTTCCTTCCTCTATTTTTGTGTTAATTATTTTTATTATGTATATGGGTATTTTGCTTACATATATGTATGTCTGTGTACACATGTGTGCCTGGTGTGGGCACCAGATCCCCTGCAACTGAAGTTATAGATAGATGTGAGCCTCTATATAGGTGCTGAGAATCAAACCTGGGTCCAAACAGCAGTCATTGTTTTTAGCCAGTGAGCCTCTTTCCAGCCCTTTCTTCTCTTTTTGGATTGTAAGTTTCATACCTCTTTAGGTTTGGAACAGGAAGAAGAAGAAGGGGTCAGGAACATTCTTTCTCACTTGAGATAATCTTATGGGCTTGTTAGCTCTAAATGGGCTGATTCATAATGTTAAGTCAGTCTTAGGGGCTACTTTCATGGACCTCTCATGTACAGCTCTTGACAAGGGAGTGTTTTCTGTCCTCTGGCTGCCTGTTTACATCTCTGAGTAGTAGATGTCCACACTTGACATGGAGGGGTGTGTCTCCTTGCCTGTCCATCTGTCCTCTGCCTGTTTACATCTCGTAGTAGTAGATGTCTACACTTGACATGGAGGGGTGTGTCTCCTTGCCCTTCCAGGTCAGTATTTTTGGATTGAATCCTCGAGATAATGCCTATCAGAAACTCCATCTGTTTCCTGCTTTTGGCAATGGTGCTGACTGTTGCTAGTGTTTCCAGTTGTCACTGGAAGAGATCACTGAGTATATACCTCACAGATAATAATTAATTCTGTAAGAAGTTCAAATACTTGCCTTAATGAGGTTTTTTTTTGTACTGACGTTTTTATTAGAGGCATGTATAATGATAATATTTAATTAAACCCTTGTTACTGTTATAGAGAAAATACAAAACTTCAGGACCAGGAAGAGCTTTCTATGCACCTCGCAGGGCACTAAGTTTACTGCCTGACCGACATAGTCTGTGTGGTTTACAATGCAGTTTTCTCTCCCTCTTACGGAGTCTTCTCGGAAGATGCTGTCCCTTCACAATTTGTTTTGTATGCACTTGGTTGTGGTGTCCAGCTGTAAGCATACATACATATATATATATATATATATATATATATATATATATATATATATATATATTCTTTATTCAAAATACAAAGGGATGAAATTCAGTTTGCAAATGTAAATACAACAAATTTTTCATTTAACACTTTATTTTAACTTTCCAGAGCAGTGTATTCAGATCTACCTCATTCTTTTTTTAAACTGTGTGTGAACTCTGCGTGTGTGTATTTTAAGGCGAGGGAGGGAGAGAGGGAGGGATGTATGTGCTATGAGCCATGTGTGGTAGTCACAGAACGACTTGCAGGAGTCATTCATCTCCTTTTATCATGTAGTCTCTAGAGATTGAACTGCTTGTCAGGCTTGGTAGCAAGTGTCTTTACCTGTTAAGCTAACTCACTGGCTACTACTGTATTTTTTTAGTGACTGTGTAATGTTGCCAATCCTGTTATTGATATATATTTAGATTGTGCCCAACACAACCTAATTTTTTAAATAAATGGTACTTGCTCAATATTATTACATAGAGATATGTGTAAAGATATATATATTTCATAGTTCTGAAAGTATATAAGTTGGATTAAATTTTAAAAATGCAATTGTTACCATAAAAAATAATCAGAATTTAATTTCTAATAAATACTGCTGAATTGCCTTCCAAATTGGATTTACCAATTTTTGCTGACAGCTTGAAATGGAGAACTTTTGTAATAAAGATAGCAATATGATATACTCAGCCTAAAACATTGAACTGGAATTTTTTTTAAGGGTATGTAGGAAGTAAATTTATTTTTGACCTGATTTAAAAATATAAGATAAAGAATTTAACTCAAAAACACTGAAATTATATAATACAATTAATTTTCTTTTTTGAATTTATGCTGAATATCGTTAGAGTTTAGTAAGAAGATAACTTTTTCAAGGAAGTGAGAATTCAAATATTACAGAAACCATTATTTGCTCACTTACTTGGAAAGATGGAGAAGCTGGGTAGAACACTTAAATGGAGTAGAACATTTGCCTTTATGACTCATGTTTTTCCTTTTCCAAAAATTTATGAACATACTTTTTATTTTTCCTGTATTTATTCTCCAAAGATGTGCTAAATATCTGACACAATGTAGTGATGGCCATTATGAAACTATAGAATTAAAACAATGCTATCTTCTAGGAATATAATTCAAAGTACGTTGACTTGATTGAGGAACAACTTAATGAAGCACTCACTACATACAGGAAGCCGATTGACGGTGATAACTATGTTCGTCGGAGTAACCAAAGGTACAGTCCACTCAGTGGGTCCATGTCCACTTTAAAATCAGCTGTTCCTAGATCATTTTAAAATGATGGAGGATTTCTGTACACTGATAGAGGAAAATCTCTGCACAGCAATGCTCGCTCCAAGTTTCCAGTGGTGTGTATTGCACGCTGTACATGCTTCGTTTTGACCCATTTAGAGATACACTCCATGTTCTCAGCCTAGTCTGCTTTTCTAGCTCCAGCTTGCTTACCATAAACTCTGAGACCTGACAGAACTATTATTTTTTTTCAGAGAAATCCTCATAAGTTCATACCTTTATTGCTTTATTAGAAATCATATCTTATTAATAGCTGCTTATTATTAAATCATGCTTATTAATATTTGCTTACTTAATTAGCATATTTAAGTATGCTAGTAACTTTCTCAGTCATCTTTTATCATACTAGATTACAACGACCTCATGTCTATCTGCCTGTACACCTTTACGGACAACTGGTACATCACAAAACAGGCTGCCATTTACTGGAAGTACAGGTAAAAACATAATACGCATTGTAAATTGTAAAAGGAGTAAAAGAAAAATCTTAATAGTGCTAAAATAAATATCTTTGCCAAGGTTTCTTAAAAGCTGTCTTGTACAAAGATACCTGCTGTCTGGCTTCACAGTCTGTTTGGTCCACAGGAGCCATGTGGTAGAGGGAAAGATGTAATTTGTGTGGGTTTTCCTCTGCTATCTCTAAGTGTGCTGTGGCATGCACATGTGCACATACACACATAAAATATTTTAAAAAATAATATCTAAGACTTATACTACTGGATACTAAGTATTTCATATGTAAAAGATTAACTCACGAGACCTTGTAAGGCTGGTGCCATTGTCCCTTAGAGATTAGGAATTCAAGGCATGGGGAAGTTAAGTAACTTTTCAGTGGCTGATTAGTTGTGTAGAGTTAGCTTCAACTCAGGTCTGTATTCTTCACAATTTATTGAAGAAATTATAATCACATATATGAAAAAACTAAGTTGCTTTCTTCCTTGCTTCAGAGGTTGAGCTGAACCTTAATGCAGATTTGTTAGTGACAAATCCAGAATATGTACTCAGAACCTATGCCCTAATGTGGCTTCTAAATAAGCTGTATGTAAAGTCACTCTTGGAATTCTAAATGTTCACAAATGACCAAAGCAAACCTTTGGTTGACTTGTGATATAGTATAAGAAAATATTTTAGAAGCCTAATATATTGTTATTTATTTATGTGGAACTTCTTTCTTTCTCCAGAATGTTATCACAGAACTCTGTCACAGTGTTCGTACTCCAGACTTGGATAAATGGGAAGAAATTAAAAAGCTGAAAGCCTCTCTTTGGGCCTTGGTTTGTAATAAATACTTCATCTTTGTGATGTTATGGGTTTTGTTTTTTAGGTTCTTCCCACTAATAATAAATTAAAATTATTTTACTTTGAACTTGTTCTTAGATTAATATTCAAAGACCAAGGTTGTTCTTACCATTTAAAGGTTATTCTTATGCTGAGGAAATAGATGATTAAGCTATTAGTGTTTTGCCTTTGTTCTCCTTCTAAGACAAGCAGCATGTTTGCTTACTCCTAGCACACCTTATTTAAGGTTTTGTTTTTACCTTGGATAGTCTGTCTGTCTGTCTCTCTCTCTCCCCCTCCCTCTCCCTCTCTCCCTCTCTCTCTCTCTCACTCAGTTGGATTTAAATTTGTTTCTTGGTAGCTTTTAAAATTTCTTCACTATATTAGTCATAAATATTTGATATTATTTCTTTTAGGGAAATATTGGCTCATCGAATTGGGGGCTTAATTTGCTACAGGAAGAAAATGTGATTCCAGATATACTAAAACTTGCAAAACAGTGTGAGGTTCTTTCCATCAGAGGGTATGTTACGTACCTGAGAAGTCTTTCTAGTGAATTTATTCTTATTCACAAATAGGTATAAGGCAAAGTAGCTCATGATTCATAATTGTTAATTTAAATATGCTTTGTTAGGATCCTTTGTACTGCCTTCATTTTGTTTTAATTATTTTTATTAAGGAGATTTACGTGGTTTTTACTGTGATTCATTTATTCGTCACTAGATTTAATGTATTTTGAATATCTTCTTAAGGAACATGTAGATACCCATATAGCAGATTATTTTATAGTTATTTAAGAAATCTTACCCTGTAATTATAAACTGTTTTTACTATGTGTTTTTTTTTTGTTTGTTTGTTTGTTTGTTTGTTTTTAACCTGCAGGACCTGTGTATATGTTCTTGGGCTCATAGCTAAAACCAAGCAAGGCTGTGATATTCTAAAATGTCATAGCTGGGATTCTGTGAGACACAGTCGCAAGCATCTGTGGCCAGTGGTTCCAGATGATGTAGAACAGCTCTGCAATGAGCTCTCATCTGTCCCAAGCACCCTCAGTTTGAACTCTGAGTCAACCAGCTCTAGACATAACAGTGAAAGTGAATCTACACCATCAAGTGAGTATTGTAATACATTCCCATAAAGTTAATCTATTGGCATTTTTATTTGTGATTTCAAAGCTTACTTTGTTTGTTACATTCTAAGTTTACATTTCTCTTTTCTACTTAGTTTTTGGACTATTAGGAGATAGAGTATTGTATGACCTGGAACTTGCTAAATAGCCAAAGATTATATTCTTCCTGCCTCTGTCTTCTGAGTACTAAGAGTACAGGCATGTAGCTACACTCAAGCCCAAGTTTATGTTTTCAAAATAATGGTTTGGTGGTGATCCCCTATTAAAGGCTGCTCTCTTCTCACAACAGAGATCACAGTCTCCAGCCTAACTAGTTCTCTCCCGTGCTTTTAAGGTAGCTTTTGGGAATTGTGTGCTCAGAGATCATGATAAGTCACATATCAGAGAAATAACTTCTATTTGTTTTCAGAACAAACAGATCTAGCAAGATTTTACCTTTATCTACCTTCGTTTACTTAATACTTTCCTTTTTATTAAGTATACATAACTGAAGTAGAATATATTTGCTAAGAGAGTCATATCTTCACTAGATGTTACATAGTGTGGGAGCCACAGATGTAACACAGTAGTAGAGCACTTTCCTGTTGTATGTGAAGCTCTGGGTTTATGCTCCAAACTGGGAGAGAAAAGGAAATTGGTGGAAGTGTTAAAAGATAGGATGTCAGAAATAAATGGTGCGTGAAACAAATGATTCAAGAGTTGAATGCTATATTCCACCAAGAAAAAACATAAAATCTTGTCCGTTATGCTACTCCATATTCTTTTTTTATTGTAGAATATTATTTTTTTATAATTCAATTTAATTTTATATATCAGCCACAGATTCCCTTGTTTCCCCCCACCTCCCACCTTCCTCCCAGCCCACCCCCCATTCCCATCTCCTCCAGGTCCATATTCTTTATTACATGATGAAACTTGATTTTTGAGAGATTGCATATGAAAAGATACATCTTAGGAGTTCACAGATATAGAAAGCTAATGTAATATGCAAGTTCATTTAGGATTTCACTTTGTCTATTTCAAAATATATTTAAAGTTCTTAATGATTACTCAACAGAACAGTTACAAATAGAATAAATCTTATTGGTACCATTAGACACCTGAGTTCACTGATATATTACAGGTAGACACTAAGTTTGAGTTTTAGCACATAAGGCAAAATGGACAGTAAACATAATAGCTTTGAATATGAAGCTTACATGTGTGCCTTTGTTTCCTGTAAATGTGGTTATCCTTTCATAACTGTGTGAGATCCCAGATTCCCACCTCTAGACCCAAATCCACTGCTCCTAAAATCCTTTGAATAAAGTGACAAGGTTCTATATTTGACTTATATACAAATCTCCTAAATATTTTATATCATCTTTAGATCCTTTAATACCTAATCTAGATGCTCAATAGTAAATTTTATTCTTAATTGCTTAAGAAATAACAGCAAGAAAAATATTTGTACATATTTAAGCACCTTTCCATAAATATTTTTGGTCTCTGGTTAGTTAAACTCATATATACACAACTCATTGATATAGAAGGCTGCAGTATGTTTAAAGTTTAGGAATCTATTTCTTCTAAGATGAAAGTCTCCTGCCCCTGTGATGTGAAGAAGAAACCATACCCATTCTGTACCAATAGAATGAGCAACCATGCTCAAGGGATGGATTTTTCCTGCTTTCTCTTAAATTTTATCCTGAGTATTTGGAAAAATCAGAAGAAACTCTGTATATGCTGTACCAGGGTGAGTCTTGTAGTTTTTCTTTAGAAAGAACAGATCCTCACATGACACAATCTTCTGTTTTATTCATATTCTAACTCTGCGCTTTAAGGGAGCATTTTTATTTTTGAATAAAGTTCCCCCAGATGACTGCTTAAAAGCCGGGATAGCACTAAGCACTGTGATGAATTCTTCGTGTTTGCGTGCTTTGACAGCTGGCTCTCCACTTACAGGCATGTTCATACTGGAGGATGAGCGGTTCGGCAGCAGCTCCACCAGTACATTTTTCCTTGACATCAATGAAGATGGTGAGCCAGCATTTTATGACCGACCTGGACCCATAAAGGATAAAAACTCATTTCCCTTTTTTGCCTCCAGCAAACTTGTAAAGAATCGTATCTTAAATTCACTCACTTTGCCCAATAAAAAACATCGCAGTAGTAGTGATCCAAAAGGAGGTAAACTGTCATCTGAAAATAAGACAAGCAACCGGCGAATCAGAACACTTACAGAGCCCAGTGTTGACTTTAACCACAGTGATGACTTCACCCCTATCTCCACAGCACAGAAAACATTACAGCTGGAAACTTCCTTTGTTGGGAATAAGCACCTTGAAGACACTGGCAGCACTCCAAGTATTGGAGAGAATGACTTGAAATTCCCCAAGAGTTTTGGTACAGAGAATCACAGAGAAAACACAAGCCGAGAAAGGTTGGTTGTAGAAAGTTCAACAAGCTCACATATGAAGATCCGCAGCCAAAGCTTTAACACAGACACTACAACAAGTGGCATAAGTTCAATGAGCTCAAGTCCCTCTCGAGAGACAGTTGGTGTAGACCCTACAACTATGGACACGGACTGTGGAAGTATGAGTACTGTGGTAAGTACTAAAACTGTTAAGACAAGCCACTACTTGACACCACAGTCTAACCATCTGTCTCTCTCCAAATCGAACTCAGTGTCCCTGGTACCACCAGGTTCTTCTCATACACTTCCTAGAAGAGCACAGTCCCTTAAAGCACCCTCCATAGCAACAATAAAAAGTCTAGCGGATTGCAACTTTAGCTACACAAGTTCTCGAGATGCCTTCGGCTATGCTACATTGAAAAGACTGCAGCAGCAAAGAATGCACCCATCCTTATCGCACTCCGAAGCTTTGGCATCTCCAGCAAAAGACGTACTGTTTACTGACACCATCACTATGAAGGCTAACAGTTTTGAGTCCAGACTGACGCCAAGCAGGTGAGCAATACATGCTTAAAAATAAGTCAACGTGATTGCGTTTTAACAGATAGAAATGTAAGACATTAGTCAGGGTGAGCACCACAGAAGCCAAGTCTCAGAACTGACCCATTTACCACATAGGCTGTGAGCTCCTTGTTACCTGATATGATTTGAAATGGATTCTTGCAGCTGCGAGGGGGGAAAATAAACTCCATTAGGCCCTGAAAATAAACTTGTTTGCAAGGTTACACAAGTCACAAGCTTTTTTTTATTTATTTCTCGCTTCTGCAAGGATCGATTTTAAAAAGAAGCATGTCGGGGGAATCAGGAGCTTAAGACCTACCGTAACAAACAACCTTTTCAGGTAGGTCAATTTAAAGCTCCAAAAGTTGACCTCTTACTATTTTTTTTAAATAACTGAAAATTTCAGTTAAATTATTTTAATTTGTTTTAAGTACATGTAATTATTAAGTAGGAACCTAACAAACACTAAATGAATTCCTGGGTCCTCAAGACTACACAAAAATTTCTATTTATATATTAAATATTCCATATTTAGGTCATGCCAAACTATTAACAGTATACAGTTTAGGCTTTTCTTTCTTTCTTTTTTTTTTTTTTAAATGATACACTTTGAAATTTGATTGTTGCAAAAGTTCCCCACTTACATTTTTTGTTGTTGTTGTTGGACTTCTCATAGTTGAATTATATTCATTTAAATGATTTTCTTTAAACAGATTACTAGGTGTCAAGTAGTTAGACCCCTGTCTGATAAAAAGTAAACACTAGCTTGCGGGATATTCTCACTATCAGAATTGGGAGTTATTTATATAATTCATCAGTCTCTCACATCTGATTTTTAGGAACATATTTAATAAAGAAGGTCCTGGTAACAGATAGTGAATTTTGTCTCCTCTTAGTTCTAGTTACATCAGTCATTATTGTACCTATCTCTGGCATTTTTGTGAATCCATAACAGAGCCACACTCCTGTCAGCAAGCCGAGGTGCAGAGCTACAGCCAAGCAGCAGAGCTGATGAGTTAGGCTGCTGGAGGCGAGGCTAGATCAGTGGTTTTCAACTTATAAACTCTTACTTTTGAAGCAGAGCATTTTTTTTCTTGAAGGTTTTCTCTAAAAACCCAATAAATAAAACAGTTCATATGGAGCTACAGCTGATTGAAATAGAATTTGAAAGTGAAACGCCCCCATAATTTCTCTGACGCCAGTAGTCCTTAGAGAGTTTTATAGATTCAAAGAGATAGAACCATACCATTTGAAAAACATTGACTTCTTGAATAAAATTCATAAATTTCAGATACGAATATTCTTGGAAATTAGGAATTGTTTTTACTACTATAATCTTAATGGCTACTCTTTAAAGTACATTTCTTTGGTGTGTTTTGTGTGAAATAATCCTTAGATTTACATTTGTACGTTTTATAAGACTTGGTTTTCCAATTAGTAATGTGAGACTTTGTTAGTGTTTCTAATATTTGACAAGGTATATATAGAGTTAACAGTGTGTCTGTTGCATGAATAGTAATCTGTATAACAAAAGCACGTCCTATGGAGATGTCCATATGCCATGGTTATGGAATCCTTTGCCAAGAGCCCTATAAAGAAAGACTAGTTAGTATTCTGTGAGATATTCCTTGTGATATTTACAAATGATAGGATTTTACTATGGTATATGTACCTTCTGTGTTATACAAATCTGGTATGATAAGAAAGCATTAATTAGCACAGAAGATTGATGAGTAATCTCATTTTTCATAAATAAATTACCTGGTGTTAATAGATACATCTTTAGCTGTCTATATTATAGCAAGTCCAGCAGACTCTGCTGACTACAAAGATAGTCTTTGAGCTGTACCTGTCTTTAGATTAGTTTCCTTTATTACTTCTGCATATTGACATTGTTCTCACTGCCAACCTTTTCATCTTCACCTGGGAAAACATAACAATTGTTCTTTTGGTGACATTCAATATTATTGGTAATCTGTGTATATGTTGGCCAATAGCAGCTAATGTTAAAGTTCTTATCTATCTATTCTCAGCCGACTAAACTGCTTCCTGTTTGACTAGCTACTTTGATGGTGGTATAAAATTAGGGGTTTGTTTGTTTGTTTCTTTTTAATATACTTAGTAGTACAAATGAAGAAGCTAATTCAAGGTTTTTTGTGATGTTATAGGTTTATGAAAGCTTTAAGTTATGCATCATTAGATAAAGAAGATTTATTAAGTCCTATTAATCAAAATACCCTGCAGCGATCCTCCTCTGTTAGGTCCATGGTATCCAGTGCTACATACGGAGGTTCCGATGACTACATTGGACTTGCTCTTCCAGTAGACATCAATGATATATTCCAGGTATCATCCAGAGTACTACTATTTTCCTATGAGCTGGCTTCCTGCTGTTTTTTGTTGTGTTTTAATGTTCTGTAACTGCTTATTAGAACTTGTAATTTATAGTACATACACTTATTATGGGAAAGATAGAAGTTTTTGAGGTGATTTTTCGTCTAAAAGTATGTTAAGAAAAATCACACTTTCTTAGCTGCTCTGTACTCTCACTCAGCTCTTTTGAGTAAGACATGGTTTAGTCTCAAATCTCTGGAATGTTAACCTTGTCTGACCATAATCAATTAGCATCTTGTCTGATTTATCTGTAGTCTGTAGAAGTTTAATAAATCCCTAATCATCTTTTAGATTGATGTAACTTCTTGTGTTTTAGTCATTGATCCTTTTTCTCACCCAGAACAGCCACATGTGATATCTGTGTACAGTAGCCTTGCTCCCATAAGATAATACACAATTTCTAGTGGATTATAATAATACTGAGGAATATATATTCTTTTATGTAACTAAGTATTTTATTATTTCTCAGTCTATTTTTCTTTGTGGGTATGTAGAGTGTGTGTGGTATGGGTGCATATGTGTGTGTGGGTCTACACACCTGCAGTGGCCAGAGGTGATTGTCAGGCATCATGCTTTTGTACTCTTTGGCTCCCTCTTGAGATGGAATTGCTCATTGAATCTGGAGCTCAGCTGGCAGCCGGCAAGCCCCGGCCGGCCATCATCCTGTCTCCATCCTCCTCCCCAGTCTTGTTTTACAAGCATGTGCACACATGGCCTTGCCCAGCGTTGTCTGGATAGTAGAGGTTCTCATGCTTGTACAGCAAGCACTCGGAACCCACTGAAGCATCCCTAGCTCCTAGATACTCTACATACACACTAAATGATTTGACTACCTCATTTAATTCACCAAGAACATGGTTAAGAGACTAGTTATTTGGTTATGTTTTGGTAATTTTAATCTTCTTTAGTAAACTTTGCCTTAGAGATTTGTATGCGACAGTAATTCTATTTCTGTTGCATTTCCCTGAATTTTCTTAACCTTCATAAGATGAATTTCTCTGATGAAACTGACTGTGCTTTGTATGCATTTTAGGTAAAGGATATTCCTTATTTTCAGTCAAAGCATGTGCCTCCTCCAGATGACCGAGGTGCAAGAGTGTTTCCCCACGATGCAGGAGGTAATGTGTGTTCTTATTCTCCTGCAACTCCTTACCTTAAAAATGAAGTTCTCTTTTCTGCGAGCTAACCGTCAAAATTAGGCGCACTAAACGTTGGGGTTAGCTTAAACATTAAACCAAAATAACTCAATCAACTGAAAATTAAAGCAGATTTTCCAGTGAGGCTTCCAGCCTCTCAAGTTGATAAAGCCCAGAATAGGTTTTTCTTTTCTTAAAGTGCAAGAGGAATGTTAAAACCAGTTTCGTGGGTCAGAGGTATAGCTGTTTACAGTGAGAGAAGATTGGGATTTGCTTACTTATATATGTTATTCCATGCCATGAACTGTTATATTTTAGTGAATGTATGCATATGAACCATAGATTGATGGTTTTATAATCTTGTTTTAACATATACCTCTTAGAATTACTGATTTTGTTTAGGCAATTATTAGGACTAATTGAAATGATATGTTAATATAACCTGGTTTTTTTTTTTTTTCTATTTAAAAAAAAAAACTGATGGGGTGGTGGTGGTGCACGCCTTTAATCCTAGCACTTGGGAGGCAGAGCCAGGTGGATTTCTGTGAGTTCGAGGCCAGCCTGGTCTACCAAGCGAGATCCAGGACAGGCACCAAAGCTACACAGAGAAACCCTGTCTCAAAAAACAAAAAACAAAACAAAACAAAAACTTATTGAAATAATAAAGGTATATGTACTATCTGTTTTTATTTTTATAATTTAAAACAAATTATTCTCTTTATTTCCTAATTAAAATTAAATGTTGGGTCATAAAGAGTTCTAAATTTCCACCTTAAAAAGTATTATTTTAAGACATCATGAAAAAGATACTAATGGTGTCTTTATTGGATTGTATTTTTATTTACTTAAACACGCAGGTCTTCCATCTGGAACTGGTGGTCTTGTAAAAAATTCTTTTCACTTGCTACGTCAGCAGATGAGTCTTACGGAAATAATGAACTCTGTCCATTCGGATGCTTCTCTGTTTTTAGAGAGCACAGAAGACACTGGACTGCAGGAGCACACAGATGACAATTGCCTTTACTGTGTCTGCATTGAAATTCTGGGCTTCCAACCCAGTAACCAGCTCAGTTCGATATGTAGTCACTCAGGTGAGTGATGGTGTCCTTGGAGATGAATCCGCTCCAGTTACAAGCTGTTGGACAGCCCTCTGATGAGGCCCTCTTACTCCATCTCACTGCCTCAGACGTCGTCTTCCTGTTGCGCCGTTAGTATTTCAGCCTCTAAGTTTATTCTCCCCACTTTATCTTTTAGTATATTATTTAAGATTAATCTGTTTTGAATTCTTTATTGGCTCTGTAGCCCAACACATAAGATTCTTTGTGCTCTGTGGTTTTCATCATTCTCATTTTTGTAGTTGGTAGACCATGCCTGACTTGAAGTTATCAACAGCTGCTGGGAATGACAACTAGTTTCCCTGCTCCTCTTCCTTATCCTTTCGGGTCCCCCACACAGCCATGCTCTTACATAAACACGCATAGTCTCTCTGGAGCATCTGCCTCATCCTCAGTCTCATGTCTGAGAAGTGTCCTGATTCCTAAGCCAAGGGTGGAAGCTCCTTCCTCTTGCTCTTCCTGTCCTTTGTACAGAGGTTTCTTGTAACTATGGTTGTTACTCAGTCACCTTCTGACCTTACCATGGCGACTTCTTCAGAGCTTGTTCCGTCCTCTCTTCATTTTCGTGTCTGACATAGCTGCTGCCTTGTGCACTGGGCTCTCGGTGCACATTTATTAGAGAGGGAATAAAGAAGTGGTCAGTTTCCTAATATGAATCACACAGGTGTAGATATTAACAGTTTCAATTGCTGTTTTAGTGTTCGTTTATGTACCTTTTCTTGGTAAATATCAATCAGCTTCCCTCAGAGGTCTTAGTGAAGACCAGAGTTCTCAGATAACTCTTCTGAAGTTCCCCTAGGATTTCATAACTTCCCAACTGTGGACTATGCCAGCTGATGGTGCTGGAGAGACACCTAGTCAGGAGTGTGCTTGCTGTGATTTGCCACCAATAGGTTGAGATTGTGCTTAGAAACTGATCCACATTCTCAGTGATTCCATGTCTCAATATGGGCCTGGACTTGACAGGTTTCACCCTCTGAACCCAGGGCCTCCATATGCTCAGATTTTTTTTTTTAAACAAACTTGTGTTTATTGGATTATTTTTTGAGAGTGAGTTAGATGTACTACACACCATAGAAAAGAGGGCATCTTAGATCAGTTGGCAATATTGTTTATGATTTAGGGCCTTCAAGTTCTTTTTATTTACTCACTCAGTAGTGTGTGTGAAGCACTTAGTGTTAAGCTCTGAAGTTATAAAAAACACAGATGGACCAGCCACCAAAACTGTCTTAAGCGAAAAGAACAGAGCCAGTACAGCCAGAATTACACACCTGACATCAGTCCTTCCAGAGCTGTACTGATCCTAGCATCGTATGGTCAGCATTAAACACAGACACAATCAGTCCTTACAGAGCTGTACTGATCCTATTAGTGTATGGTCAGCATTAAAGGCAGACACAAAAACTGGAGGAGCTAGAACCCATCTGTGTACCTCCAGCTTACTGATCTTCCACAGAGGTGCTAAGAATGCCTGCTGGAGAGAGGACAATATTTTTGATAAAGGGAAAACTGGATAGCCAAAATAAATGGGATTAGATGTCTCTCATTCTGAACAAAAGTCAACTCAACATGGGCTGTAAATGTGAGCCTGAAACTGAAAGCGCTGAGGAACTGCGTTGGAGTTGTCAAATGGGTAAGGATTTCTTGGAATCCTACCTGCCACCCACTACATGCTCTAAAAAAAAAAAAAAAAAAAAAACTATGGGAAAGAAAAGTTAGGATGTCCAAAACTATTAATAAAACATTTTTTATAGAGAAAAAGAAATGAATGAAAGAACATAGAAATTGAACAAATACTTGCAAACTACATATCTGATAAATTAATATACATGTTGAGTGTAATGGCACACGCCTTTACTCCCAGCATTTGGGAGGCAAAGGCTGCTTGGTCTACAGAGTGAGTTCTAAGACAGCTAGGGATACACAGAAACCATGTCTGGAAAAGAAAAATTAATATACAGGATATAGGATTAAAATATGCAGTAGACTTAAAAACACTTCTCAGGACACAAAAGTAGTCAAATGTAAAAACTACCACGAGCTATCAGCTTACAATAACTAGAATACTTGTCAAAATGCCAAAGGGTAACACATGCTGGCAAGGACAGGAAGAAGAGGAAATCCATGCACATTGTTGGGTGGAATATAAATTACTACAGCTACTAAAGAAAGCAGTAAGGATCTCAGAAAAACAAAATGAAACAAGCCATACAACCCAGCAGTCCCATCACCTAAGAGAGAGAAAGGAAGTGAAATCAATATGCCAAAGACACAGCATCCTTAGTGAACTGTAGTACTCTTCACAGTAGCCAAGAAGTGTAAGCAAATACCTAATTGATAAATGAATGGATAGAGAATGTGAGGTGGATGTGTGTGTGTGTGTGTGTGTGTGTGTGTGTGTGTGTGTGTGTTTGTGTTTGAAAAGCCAAACTAAAATAACTAGGTAACGATATAGGAGGATCAGTTGTTAAAACTCAGACTGGAGGAGTACCTAAGACTGCAGCTGAAGGACAGAGGAGCCAAGAGACTGGCTGGTTGTTAAGTTATTTGCCTCTCAGAATTAAATGCTTTAAATGTTAAAACCAGTGCTGTATGTAGGAGGGTGTTGAGGAAGCATGAGGCAGAGCTCTGTCCACTTGACCTTCTTCCCAAAGGTACAGTGACTGAGGGAATGCCAGGAAGTCCAGGATATCCAGCCAATAAGAGCACAAGTGTAAATAGCAGAGGCCTGGGTCTCAAGTACCAGGGAGACTGGTACAAAAACCGGGCTGTTGTCCTTGTTGGACAGGGGAAACCCATGAGGCCTTAACCCTATACACCAAGAACTACAGGCAACTGAGGAATGCTGAGATCAGGAAAAAGAGTCTTCCCCAGGGAAAGCACACTGATTGGTTGTTATCTAATAACAAATGGTCAGCCCTGAAATATGTACATACAATTAGCATTTTATGAACTGAGCAGTTAAGGGTGTGTGTGAGTTGTGTGCACATGTGCATATAACAATGAAAAAGAGGCCATGAATTTCAAGCAGAGTGGGGAGGGGTAAATGGAAGGATTTGGAAGGAGGAAAACAGAAAATGATAAAATTATAGTCTCCAAGAAACCGGCTGTTTAATCTTGGGCTTAATATCTGTACTTAATACTTACCTGTAATACTTTAGTTTGGGTTCTAGTTTAAGCCTCTGAGTGAGAATAATACATTACAGTATTTTTTAGACTAGGAATCAGTAACTATTCCATGAATGGTAACTTGTATAAAACTTACTTAGTTCTGATAGTTAGTGATGGTGATCTAACTGTAGTCCTCACACATAGCTTCCATCTGTAAGAAAAGTCGAGCATCTCCATGTTCCTTTCCTCAATTCCAACAATGTGTAGTTCTCTGTTTTGCTGGTTGTCCATATTTTGTCTGAAGTTTCCAGTTAACAGCAGTCATGGTCTTGTTTAAAACTTTATCCGCATGATTCTGCACATTTCACAAGTGACATCCTACAGAGTCAGAGCACAAAGTACTTTACATCTTTAGAAAGCAATGCAGTATTTTTAAACCTTGATTACCTAGAGGAATAAATGCTTAATGAAAATCACTGACCTCTTTAAAAATAGGGTACAGTTCCAACAAGATAGGGTACGGAGTTGTCACCGATTGAAGATCAGGCTGGGCTAAATTAGTTCATTACTTTTCAGAAACATGTCAGCTGGAGGAAGTGTTGCTTTCTTACTGTTCTTTATACTGTAGTACTTACCACCGATCCCTAAGTAGCTCATCAAGTGAGTGTAAAATACGTATATGCCTTTTTTCATTGGGACTGAGGAAAACAACATGAAACATTGTTTTAAATTACATCTTTGATTCCAAAATATTTTCCTTGTGGGCATGGCCAACCAATGACTGGTCAAAGGAGACCTATGCCACGAGAGGGAGCCCATGCCAGACACTGCTTGGAGGGCCAGGACTCAGATTCTGGATAGCCCAGAGACCAAGGATAGATCCAAATATGACTCGGAGGGGGGGAAAAAGTCAATGAAATGACTCTTGGTGATACTCTGTTATACTCATAGACCAGAGCCTAGCATAATCATCATCAGAAAAGCTTCCTCCAGCAACTGATGGGAGCACATGCAGAGACCCACAGCCAAACATTAGGTGGAGCTCAGGCTGTGGTTTTTTGACCAGTCATTGGTTGGCCATGCCCACAAGTTCTGTACCACCTTTACCCCAGCACATCTTGCAGGCAGGACAGATTTGTATGTAGAAGGTTTTGTGGCTAGGTTGGTGTATCCCAATCCCTCTACTGGAAGTCTTGCTTGCTTACAGGATATGGCCGGTTCAGGTTACCTACCCCCCATTACTAGGAATCTTTGCTAGGGTCACCCTTGTGGATTCCTGGGAGTTTCCATTGCACTTGGTTTCTACCTCACCACTGAAATGTCCCCCAATTCCAGTTGTCACTCCCAGTACTCTCTCCTCCACCCACCCATCCCCCATGTAATCCATCCTGTTCCCATTCCCACCTGCTCCCAGTCTACCCACGAAATTATTCTGTTTGCCCTTCCCAGGGAGAGCCTTGTGTCCCCCACTTGGGCATTCCTTGTTACTTAGCCTCTCTAGGTCTGTGGATGCTTATCCTTTACAGCTAATAGCCACTTATAAATGCATATATTCCATGTTTGTTTTTCTTGGTTTACTTCACTTGGGATGATTTCCTGCAAATTTCATGATTTTTTTTTAAACATTGTATAAATGTACCACATTTTCTTTATCCATTTTTTGGTTGAGGGACATCTAGGTGGTTGGTTTCAAGTTTCTGTCCGTTACAAATAAAGCCACTATGAAATGAACGTAGTGGAGCAAGGGTATATGCCCAGGAGTGGTATAGCTAGTCTTGAGGTATATCAATTCACAATTTCCTGAGGAATCTCCATATTGATTTCCATAGTGGCTGTACAAGTTTGCACTCCCACCAACAGTAGAAGAATGTTCCTCTTGCTCTGCGTCCTTGCCAGCATGAGCTGTCACTTAAGTTTTTTATCTTAGCCATTCTGACAGGCGTAAGATGGAATTTCAGAGTCATTTTGATTTGCATTTCCCTGATGGCTAAGGGATTGAACAATTCTTTAAGTGTTTCTCAGCCATTTGAGATTCCTCTGTTGAGAATTCCTTGTTTAGATCTGTACCTCATTTTTAAATTGGATTATCTGGTTTGTTAATGTCTGGTTTCTTGAGTTCTTTATATATTTTGGATTATCAGCCCTCCGTCAGATGTGGGATTGGTGAAAATCTTTCCCCAGTCTGTAGGTTGCTGTTTGACCTGTGGCCAGTGTCCTTTGCCTTACAGAGGCCTTTCAGTTTCATGAGATCTTAGTTTCTGTACTGTTGGTGTTCTGGCCTAAGCCCAATCTTATGGAGGCATTTTTTTTTTTAAATTGAAGTTCTCTCAGATGACTTAGTTTTTATCAAGTGACACAAAACTATCTAGCACAGCAGGCATGGAAGTAGTAATCTGAGACATGATTGGAAGTGGGAGTAAAATGTAGGGCAAAGGTTATTTTTGGGGAACCAAGGTTGAATGAGGTTGAACCTCTTTTCTTCCATGTTGGTATCTGGGGAGACAAGCCAGCTTTTAGAAGTCGTACTTTCTAGCTGAGTGTTTATCTTCTCTGTCTGAGTTACCCTTTTTTCATAAGGGGAATGAATACTTAACTAACTTCCACTGTGTTGTATAGTACTAAGCTTGTATGATTTTTATGGGATGTCCAATGTTCCTTCCTGAAAGGATGATCAACAGCTTTTCCCATTTGCTTTCATCATTGATTTTAATACCTAGGTTTTTTTTTCTATTTATTACATTTTTTTATTTGTTCATGTGTTTGTGTACTGTGCATGCACATGTGTGCCAGTGTGCATGTACCACAGGACCCACTTGAAGATCAGAGGACAAATGATTGGAGTCAGTTTTCTCCTTCCACCCTGTGGGTCCTGGGGTTGAACGTAAGACCATCAGCAAGCACCTTTTTAACCCATTGAACCATACAGCTGGTCCATGCCCAGGGCATTTTTAAACCAAAAAAGTATTTTAGCTTAGATGGTAGGTTGGTGTCAAAATCCCACCATGGGATCCTTAGGAGTGCATGGAAAGAAGAAAAAGAAGGAAAAATTAAAATAGGAAGAGGTCTGAAATAACCTTATGCTTTTAATTGGATTTACTGTTGGGTGAGGCATTCAGATAGAGGTAGAAAGGATAGGAGAAGAGAAGATAAGGTGTGTTCATCTGTATGTATTTGTTTGAACTTTAATGACATAGTCACACATTAGTACTAGGAAAATCAACTCTCTAGAACATAGCAGGTTCCCTTGTTTGAATACTCATCTAAACAGTTTGGATTTACTTTGAAAATCTTCATGAAAAGAAATTGTTAGAACAGGGAAGTTCTCTTAAAGTGTGTATTCCTAGCACAGGAATGGAGCTCTAATCAAATGCTTTTACCTTCAGACCTTCAGGATATTCCATATTCTGATTGGTGTGAGCAGACGATCCACAATCCTTTAGAAACGGTTCCTTCGAAGTTCTCGGGGATTTCTGGGTGCAGCGATGGTGCATCTCAAGAAGGCTCAGCCAGCAGCACCAAAAGCACAGAGCTGCTTTTGGGTGAATCTTCAGGTTTGGTTTCTTCATCCGTAATGGAACTGTGTTCAGTTGATTTTGCTTGTTAGCATATGTACTGTAATTCCAAAGGGCTATGACAGCAGGTCGGTGTTAGAAGTGTAGTAGACTGCACCTGTGTCAGCATTCACAGGTTCTCTCTCAGTGGTCTACTTCTACTAGAGCTTTGCTTCTAGGTGATTGGCAGATTATGTGCCGTTGATTGCAATTTTAGTTGCTTATATAGTTTGAAAACAAATACCATGAGTTATTGTTCGATGTTGTGATATGATAAGTGATCTCATACTGACATCTTCATTTCAGGTGTGAAAACCATTCCGGATGATACACCAATGTGCCGTATCCTGCTTCGTAAAGAAGTGCTAAGATTAGTCATTAATTTGAGTAGTTCAGTTTCTACCAAGTGTCATGAAACAGGGCTTTTGACGTGAGTACCTACCTGCCTGAAGGTTGACAGCTTGTTCTACTGTGTGAGGTTCAGAAAGATACTTGCACTGCTCAGCGTTGCACAGTAGTAGCAGTCACAGACTCTGTTCCCATCTGCAGAGCAGGGCTTAGGTGCTTTGCTGTGGTACCTCAGTCTGTATTGCAGATTGAAGGCAAAGTGAGAGAGAATCCATCCACTCTGAAACAAATCTGCGAAAATGGGAAACTATCTAAAGCAGGGCCACTCTTGCCCCCTTTTTTAGCCTTGGCAAACTTTGGGGTTGTTTTTAATTAAATAACTTTTTAAAATTTTTTTAAATTTAAACATTTTTTTAAATTCCCAAATTCCAGTTTCTGGTGTAATTGTCGGTGGCTATAACTCAAATACAAAAACAAGCTTTTTAGATTTCTCAATCATTTTTCAAGAAAGTGAGGAAGACCTAAGACCAAACATGTGAGAAGCAAGTTTAAGTTATAAACTAGTGGGATTTCCTGATTTTTATTGTTTTTCTAAGTCAGAGCAGCCTGATAAGTGAAAAAAAAGATTTTGAGCGAATCATCTTTATTTGCACTGTTTAAAGGAGTTGTTCTTAGAAGAAGTGTGAAACAGAAGTGGTTTACAGTGAGCCAGGTGTGCAGGCCTAGGCCTGCAATCCTGCACTCAGGAGGTCGAGGCAGGAGGTTCTGGAATGCTAGGGACATGGAGTCATGGTCAAGCTGGCCTGGGCTATGTGAAATCCTGTAGCAAAAAGGTAAAAAGGAAGAGACAAGCTGACTGACTGACTGTTGTATATTATTAAGCCACCACTCCTGACATTCCATCCAATCAATATCTGTAGAAAAAATTAGCAGAACATGTCATTTTGGAGGGTCAAATGAATAAATTCTGGTTATAATTTTTATCACAACATAGTCTGTCTTTTCATTTTAGAATTAAAGAGAAGTACCCTCAAACATTTGATGACATATGCCTTTATTCTGAAGTTTCTCATTTGTTGTCACACTGCACATTTAGACTTCCGTGCCGGAGGTTCATACAAGAGTTATTTCAGGATGTACAATTTTTACAAGTAAGTAAGACTATTTTTCTGGAATTTGTCTCCTAGAATTATTCTATACTTGAAGTAAGTTAAAAGAAAGTATATCTACATTATATGCCATTTTTATTTTTTAAAAAAATTAACAATTTACCACTTTTTCCTAGATGCATGAAGAAGCAGAGGCTGTGTTGGCAATTCCACCAAAACAACCTGTAGTTGATGAATCTGACGAATCCTGACCTCATATTTATGATGTTTATAGCTAGAAACTATATATTTATCCATCCTTATGGATTTCCTAAAGGCCTCACAAAATACTGACTGGCTGTCAGCGAGACAGGAGTATCTTCTGTCGCTGTCCCAGCAGTCACTGGTACAGAACAGCTGTAGCTGCTGACGTCCCTAACCAAGCCAACTTCCTCTTCCCTGTTGGAGATTCATTACCACAATTTTAATTCAGTTACTATCATATGCAAGAGCCAAGCACTGAATACCTACATAGGTTTTCTATTTTTTTAATTTGAAAAGCATAATGGCAGTGGAACAAAAACAGGACATGAAGAAGCACCCTTCACACAGTTATTTCTGAATGCTTCTTAATTAAGGGTAAATCTAAAAGATGCCTTGTTTGTTAACTAATTCATGGAAACCAGGAGTCAACATCTCTGAGGCTGCATCCTGTTATCTCGTAGGCTGTGCTGTAACTGCTGGGATCAGAGGGCTTCGTTGGCCCTTCCACATTTCCTTAATGTTGTAACACTACTTCAGAGGTTTCTGACCTCAGAGCAAAAGAAGAGCCTCACCAATTGGAACTGAAAGGTTATTTTATGTTGCTAGACTGCATAAAGATGCTTATTTGTCTCCATCTCTTCAGGTTTGTTGCAATACGTTGTTGAAAGTTACTTGTACCAATTAAGGTTTTTCACTACAGTTGATCAAAATAAATAGTTCAGTTGAAATACTTCCCATGTCCAGAATGCATATATATGTCCAGTGGACTTCCATCCTCATCAGCTCCTCTCATCACCGCTTGAAACTGATTGAGCAAGTGTTAGTAGTTTGGACCCAAAGCAAAGGAAAGCATTAAATGATACTTCCGACCTCTTAAAGAAAAGACAAGTTTGCATGAAATTTACACATTCCATGTTAAAAAAAAAAGCCATATTTGCTTTTAGAAAGTCATTGAGTCTCATTAAGATTCAAAATTGTGGTGAAAAGCCTTAATTACTAAATGTTAAAGCAGCGATAATGTAATTTTTGTTAGTGATCGTGTTTTGCACAGAATAATTGCAGTTATAGGTGAGTTGAAGAGTACAGTCATTGCTTTTATCACATTTGTGAAGTTGATGAAGGCAAGGTTCTGTCTGTCTGTCTGTCTAATTTGTGTGTGTATAAAGATATTTGGAAATCTTTACAGAAATTAAACATATATGCAAATTTGTACATAAAGTAGCATGAACACCATTACTAGATGCTTGTAAGTGAAAGGGTTGTCTTTTTTGAAATCATATATCTAGAACAAAAACATCCAGCTGGACTGACTAGGACCCTTTTGTAATGCTTTGTGTAGCCCATTTTTTATAGTTACACATCAGCTTTAATACCATCATAGACATCAGTCCATATTTTCCCATGTTGTACACCCTTTTCATACCGGGCTTGTTTGCGAGGTCTCTGTAAAGTACCCTGTGAACAAGGAAACATAACTCACAGAGATTTTTTTTTTTTTTTTTTTTTTTTTTTACTGGCACTGAAAGTTCCCACTAGGATGAAGCATTTCATCTCCTTCCTAACTCCTCTTTGACTGCACTTCAGCAAGTTGTTCTTACATGCACTGTGTAGCAACTTCCATGATGATCAAGCAGACAAGGGCTCGAAGCTGCTGCTCACATTACAACACAGTTCTTCTCATATGCTCAGAAAATACTTTATCACTGAACCCAAGTGTTTATCTAAATGTCAACAGTACTTCTAAGAGCATTGCCTGTCACCTTGGTCTTTGGTCTTGGATAATAAAACTGCCTTTCCAGAGAACCAAATGTCAGAGATACTAGACCAAATAGTGGTTACAATTCCAAAGGACGTAATGTAGTCTTACTCATAATGGGATTAACATTTTAGACATTCATTTTAAACACTACCTCAGTTAACATAGAGTATAAAATCTGTGGTTTCATCCCTCAAAAATAAACAATAACTAATTTGTTTGTTTTTCATCACACAAAACTATCCCCATCCTTGCGCACCTAAGTCAGCCATCCTGAAATGAAGGCTGTGCCTAGTGTCCTAAGCAGGTGTTTTGTTTTGACTTTTGACTGTTACTTTGAAAGGGGTGTGTGTGTGTGTGTGTGTGTGTGTGTGTGAGAGAGAGAGAGAGAGAGAGAGATCAGATCTGCCTATAGCACTTACTTTGGGAAGATATCAGAGCTTTGTGATTTTCAGTATATTGGAGGAAATTGTTAATGCTTAAATTTATAGTGCTGTCTGGTTTAACCATGGTTTCACCAAGACGTGTAATACATTTCCTTTAAGTACTTACTTGTATAAAAGTAGACTTTCATGATGAAAACTACATGCAGTGCCAAGTGATTAGCATAGGTGTTTAAGACTATTAAATTATAGCAGAAAAGGTTAGGAATGATGTCAATGGTAATAGAAATCATTGAGAAAATTATCTATAAATAATAGATATTACCAAAATAATGTCAATACTGTAGTTTTTCAAGAGTTTAGAATTAATCTTAGTCATATAAATTTGTACTATTGGTAATTATTTAATAATTTGGAAGGGTTTGAATAGTTAAGCTGGTTGTAAACTGTGAATTTCTAATTGTAAATTGTCATTTCTAATTGAATTTTTTTCAAGAACAGATTTCAGTTTCACCTACTAAATAAATACTGACAAATGAGAAATTTAGTATTTATAAGGAAATAGGCTCTAAAATTTCTTAGCCTTTTCTTTTCTGTTTGTGCTTAGGGTGTATTGGAGGAGAAAGTGTTCTCCCTAACTTAAGTGTTTCTAATACAGAGAAACGAATAGACATCCCGTAAGACAGAGGTTTTACAAGGCTGTTAGAAAGTGCGGACATTGTTGCTGTGGTGACGTATCCAAGTCACTGGGAGCAGTGGCTTCAGCAGCATTCCACTCTTGTCCAGAGCTTGAGGTGGTTAACACTGGATTCCATGTCACCATGGCCAAGTATTCAAAGTGGGATGTCACTGTTCATTTAAACTTGTCTACTGCTATTTATAACCTTTTTATTTCATTCCTTTCAGAGGATGCCTTTTATGCCCCATATCAAAGCACAGATCATTAAGCAATAAGAAACAAAATTGTCTGTCATTCAAATTATAATTGCAATTATTCTCGTGTGGTAAGAGTGAGGTGCTAATTTTGTGTGAGAAGAATTTGTGACCACTTTGGAAATGTATTCTGGAAGTAAGGTTTTTTTTGTCCCTCCTTTAGACTTTTACTTCCATTTTGTCTCAGATTCACAGTCCATGAAAGAAAAGTAGAATTGTTTGAAAGACTTCTAAGAAAAGCTGCTTGCAATGAACATTTCAGATTTTCCTAAGTGTGGGCTGGCAAAGGGCTCCATTTTCTCCATATTGACAGAGTCTATTGTTCCCATCTTAACTTCAAGAGTGTCACTACCCCGAGTCCCACATCCAGACGTGCCGGTGAACTTGAGGGCAGTGCTTACGATGACACACAAGTCTGCGCGAGGCTTTGCAGGAGCCGTTGTCTTTTCAGGACAGGTCCCCAGGGGGATTTCATTTCTAGCACATTTGTATGACTCACGGAATGTGGGACTCCTCCCCTTTGGAGTATTTTTATAGTTAGGTGGATGACTGCCACAGATGCATGGATTGCACATTCTGACTCGATAAGATACTTAATGTGAAAATTTATGCCAAAAAGGAAACATACCTTACAACTTTCCCATTTAACTAAGTTGGTCTAGCACAAAATGCTAACTAAGTCTTGGGGCAGAGAGGGAGTAGTGAAAATTTTTTATGTATGATTGTTGAAAACTCTTCCATTACTGGCCTGTCAGAAACCCTAACAATGCATTGTGAAACAAATGATGGAAATTCAGTTAGCTTTGAAAAGTGGTAAGGGATCGTGAAGAGAATCTCAGACTCAATGCTCTCTGACCACATGACCTTTTTTTTTATTTAGTAATACGCTGCTACATTTTTGGAGGTTCTAGTGTTTGTAGGTCACTGAACAGACATTGAAATCTGATTTATATTGTATAACTGTAACATAGAAAGAAAAAGTATTTATATATTTTCCTTAAGAATATTTCATTGAGTTGTGTATAATTTAAATAAGATTTGTCCCCAAATGGTTTTGCTCACCTTGATTTTTTTCGTTGTTGTTGTGGTTTTATTGTTTTTGTATAATGTGTACAGTTTATGTTAAGGGCATTAAAGCCTCCTGAAACATAATCTTATCAAAGGGATTCATTCTTAATAAAATGTACTTAAAATTCTTAAACTTGTGGCGATGTTGCTTTATTTGAAAATAGGTGTCGCTGGGCCTTGACTTGAATCACATGATACTGATGTTGACAGGTGTGATTTCCAATAAACGTGGCTTTTCCATCCTACAGATGGGGATGGTCTTGTGCCATGAAAAGGGGCTGCCCCCAATTTTAAAGTAATTATACTTCTTTGGCATTCTTCAGAATTTAACATACTTACTTTTTTTTTTTGTTTTTTTGTTTTTTTTTTTTTGGTTTTTCCAGACAGGGTTTCTCTGTGTAGCTTTGCGCCTTTCCTGGAACTCACTTTGGAGACCAGGCTGGCCTCGAGCTCACAGAGATCCGCCTGCCTCTGCCTCCCGAGTGCTGGGATTAAAGGCGTGCGCCAACACCGCCCGGCTCATACTTACATTTTAAAGTCAAATAAGTATTGTAAAGGATTTGGAAATAGAAATGTCTTTAGAACAGCTCCGGACTTCCTGAGGTAGTAAGGAAATGACTTGTCAGTGGAGTGTTGCAGAGAGGCCAGCCTCGTTCTACCTTGTGGCAGGATAATGCACCACAGGAAAAGAGCCAGCTGAGAAATTCAGTGTGAAAGCTTAGGTCTGTTAAAGTTTTTAAAATATATTCCCCACCTTAAGCGAACTTGGTTCAGGTGTTTGGCCTGTGGACACCTGTTTGTGTGTATCATTGTTCTCACCCCGTACCGTGTTTTTATCAGAAATGTAAAATGAAAAGCATGCCTAATTTATCATAGTTGAATAAGAAAATGATAGTCTAAGCCGGGCGTTGTTGGCGCACGCCTTTAATCCCAGCACTCGGGAGGCAGAGGCAGGCGGATCTCTGTGAGTTCGAGGCCAGCCTGGGCTACCAAGTGAGCTCCAGGAGAGGCGCAAAGCTACACAGAGAAACCCTGTCTCGAAAAACCAAAAAAAAAAAAAAAAAGAAAATGATAGTCTATATTGCTCTGGGATGGTCTGTATGTCAAATTGTTCTGATTGGTCAATAAATAAAACACTGATTGACCAGTGGCTAGGCAGGAAGTAGGTGGGACAAGGAGAGAGGAGAGTTCTGGGAAACAGAAGGCTGAGGCAGAGAGATACCGCCAGTTGCCACCATGACCAGCAGCATGTGAAGACGCCGGTAAGCCACCAGCCACGTGGCAGGTATAGATTTATGGAAATGGATTAATTTAAGATATAAGAACAGTTAGCAAGAAGCCTGCCACGGCCATACAGTTTGTAAGCAATATAAGTCTCTGTGTTTACTTGGTTGGGTCTGAGCGGCTGTGGGACTGGCAGGTGACAAAGATTTGTCCTGACTGTGGGCAAGGCAGGAAAACTCTAGCAACACTATATTTTTTAAATTTTCCATACAGAAATATTCAAATAGCTAGGTGGCTGCAGCTGTGTGGGTTTGATTCTGAGTCCTCTGCTGAATCTCAGTAGTCTGTGTCTCTTTGTGCCCACATCATATTGTTTTTGTTTATTTGGCTTGGAGTATATAATAGTTTATGGTCAGGTATTGTGGTAGCTCCAGCTAAGACTTGCTTTGGGTATTCAATCTTTTTTTTACATCCATATGAATTAAAGGATTATTTCATTCTGGTTCTATGAAGAATGTAGTTTGAATTTTGATGAGAATTCCACTGAATATGTAATCACATTTACTAATGGCCATTTTTACAGTATTTTACTAATCCAGGATAATGACAGGTCTTTCTCTTTCTATATCTTCAATTACATATTTTAGAGATATTTTACTCCCTTGGTTATGTTTATTTTGAGATTTTTTAAGTTAGTTATGAAAGGTTTTTTTTTTCTGATTTCTTACTCTACTAGTTCACTATTGGAATATAGGAAAGCTGCTGGATTTTTAGATGTTGAATTTGATTCCCACAACTTGCTGAATGTGTTTATCAGATCTAAGAATTTTCTCCTGGAGTCTTTGGAGGTTAATATCTAGAGTATATAAGGAACTTCAAAATTAAATCATCTAGTCAATAAATGGGCTGATGATCTGAGTAGACAGACATTTCTAGAGGAGGGAAAAACTACCTGAAAAAGGATACAGTAACCTTAGCCATCAGTACAAGGTGAATTAAAAAGCTTTGAGATGCCATCTCAGGCCAGGCAAATTCCTGCTATCAAGAAAGAAAAACACGTTGAGTATGAGGGGGAAGAGAAACAGGATACAAAATCGTTTGTATTATTAGTGAAAATGTAAATCTGTACAGCCACTATGAATGTCAGTGTGGTGGTTCCTTAAATTAAAAATAGACCTGCCATATGACCCAGCTTTACCACTTCTGCGTGTACACCTGAAGAACTCGTAAATCAGCATAGCACAGTATTTGCACATCCACGTTCATTGCTGCTCTGTTCACAATAGCTAAGCTAGGGAACTAGCCGAGAGCCATCAACAATGGATAAGAAAAAAAAAATTGGACTTGATCACAGTGGAATTTATTCATCTCTAAAGAGTATAAGACATTTGCAGGAAAGTGGATGGAACTGGAGATCATTATGGTACATGAAATAAGCCAGACTTGGCAAAATATCACCTTTCCTTCAATATGTAGGTTTAGTGTGTTGGAGTTTATAGTGTTGGAATAAGGACTGTTACAGGAACATAGGAAGGGGACCACGAGAGGGAAAGAAGGCACCTTCAAGCATGTGAATCTGTCCAGGAACTGATGAAATGTGTGGATTCCAAGTTAGTGCTGAAGAGACCCTTTTTAGCTTGAAGGGTACCTAGAAGTTTACATTTCTGTTAAATTTGTGAGGTGATTTATTGGCTACACTCAATAACGTAAGTTTTCATTCTGTTGAGGGAATTAAAACAATGTGATTGTGAAATGTTTCAAATTGGGCTTTATTGAAACAGCAAAAATAACGTTTTTTTTGAATTTATGTTTTGTGGATTATCTTTTAAACAAATGAAAGAAAACCTTTACAAATCAATGTCATTAACATTTCTGGATACAAGTTTCCAGTGAGGAATACATTGACAGAAAAACAAACGGTACTGGCAGTACTGACCAAAGTCATCTCCAAGTAGACTCTTCACAATAGTGCCTGGTACTAGGTTAGGGCAGAACCACTTTCTCTATCAAAAGGCTTGGTTGTATGTAAAGAAAAGACTGGAGACCTTTAACAGAACATTTTTGATTGGTGTTACTATGTTCTAAGGATACCTGCCATATGGCTATTGCTGTAGTATTGGTAACAGCCATGCATGTGCACAAAGTCGTCATTCCCACCGCACTCACGGCAGACAAGACAAAGGGACCCTCTCTATCATATTTTACAATGTGACAAACATCAACAGGAAGAAAGTGATGAATTGAACACCTGTGTTTGTCCGGCTACCATAGAGCATCTTCCAGAGATTGTTTACAGGAGCTACACTGCTACCAAGGTCCATGGGAGTTCAGGCCTTATCTAAAAATAATATTGTGTATATTGGATATTGTGTGCCATGTCCTAATACCTGATGCATGTAAGTGCTATGGAAATTGTTAATACTGTATTTAAGTAATCGATGAGTTTGGTACAGACATTTTTTTTTCTGAATTTTTTTTTTTCCTGGAGGTAGTTGGATCTTGATGTTATCTTAAAAGACATACTTTGGGGCCAGCGCCCAACTAACTTCTAACTCCATGGAACATTTTAAAGTTAGCGATAAATTGAATCCAGTCCTGAGGCTTTATTACTTTAGCATGATAGGAATGGGAGTGAGACAGAATTCTCTTGAACCAGACTATGTGTGGAAATAGGTTATTTAGATACAGCTTGGGATGGGGGCAACGAATGCAAAAGGAACCACTCAATGAAATGTCCTGTTTTCTATTCTGAGGTAGTCAAAAAAAAAAAGAGGAAGACTGGAGTCTACTGCACAGGCTACTGTCACCTGGATACCAAGTCTGGAGCTTTTTGCAATCCTGTTTTACTATAGTAAGGTAGATGGCAGGAGTCCTGTGAAGACTATTCCTGTCTCATTCCTACATCTTACCTGTTGGGTTGGTTCAGTGTAGACACCAAGAGAAGTTTTTTTTACTGTTATCAGTGACTACAAATTCTCATTTCAAGGTAAGGCCAAAGTCTAGTTTGTAACCTTTCAATGAAATGTGATAAGTCTACACAATAGGAGTAATAAGTCTCTTGTGGCGTTAATCAAAACATTTGATCCAATGGCTTTACCCTTACATATTATAGATTAGGTCAAGTTTACATGAAGATGTTTTCTCATTGCAAACCGAAATCCTAGGACACAGCCACTTTGTCAGTCCTGAGTAGATAGAGTTTGTGAAATCAATGATGAACATCCTATGTCAAGGTCAGGAGTACTGTGATAAGGGTGAGCCTGGAACAAATAATAACAAGGTCAGCATGCACCATTTCTAAGGAAGCCTTCAGGGCAAATGCCAAGTTGCACAGCTCCGGTCTTTAGTCTGTCAGCCTGTAATGATCTTTTATAAATCGGTGCTGCAGATAGTGGATGTTCCTGGAATCAAGGGCCAGGGCACGTTGTGTTGGCATGCTACCAACCATATCCCCAAAAGTGCCTATAGTGTATGAACTGGCTTGCTGCTAGTTAACATTACTGTTCGCCTTGACCTAAAATGATCATTGAGGTCAGGCTGTTATCCTCACTCAGCGCAGGTGGTGCGAGGCTCCCCGGAACTGCCATTTGCATTTTATACTCTGAACAGTGCACTGGCATGGGTGGATTTGTGGCAAGACTGTCCTTGTCTCCACACATGGGTGAAGCCAGCTGAGACACATAAATCAAGCTAGTTTCTTCAGTCGGGCTTTCCTCCAGGGACTTCATGTAGTCTTTTTCTAGAACATTTAGTAACTTGTTAGGTGGGGTCAATAGTGCAAGTTGATGTGGTGTGTCTTTTAGGGGTCCTGAAACAAGCCCGTGGGAACCAGAGTCAAAAGCTGACTGATCATAAGTAAAATTCTCAAAGAAGACGCAGGGCACAGGGCCAGAGGAACCGCTTTCTATT